ATAGATATCCATCGAGAAGGCCCAATTCAGTAGGCAGACTCACAGCATCCCTAACACATACTACAGCATGGAGTTTAGCCTAAAACAAAATGGATATAATCACTTTAATTTAAAAAAAGACAGCTAGAGGAGGAAAAGATGATGCCTGCCTTGCATATAAGAGACTTGTATTAAAAGCACTTCCCTCAAAAGTAGGTAACCTGAGGTGTAGGCCCTTTTCAGGTGCAGGGATTCAAATTCAGATCTCTTTGTTCCTAATCACTAGGACAGAGGCTAGAAAGAGCAGGAGTATCCATTTTGTAGCAAAGAAGGCAAGATCCAACATGCCAGAAGGAGAGTAATCAAGGAGGAATTCTGCAGCTTGAAGGCTGGCTCTCACTCTGAAAGGATTTTTCCCCATTTGAAAGCAGTCCTCCTTGTTTAGGATTATTACTGTTTTATTTATCCAATGACTGTTTCATATAAAATGTATGAATAGTAATAGGAACAAGGAGTTAAGCACCATAATAACCTTGTTTTCCATTGCAATCATGTTTCCTTTGGCTCTTATCCTGTTTCTAACACAAGAAAACTTAGATTCTTTTCTGCACAGTAAAATGGCTTCAGCAGAAGGGATGGAAAATACCTTCATCCGTAGGAAGGTAGGAGTTCAAGTAGGACCTCAGCCTCTCACATCATGTATGTGAGAGTGGTAGTATCAGAAATGATTGCTGCACAGTAGTGATGCTGACAAGTGGTGACGACTATTAATAGGCTACTGATCAAATGGAAAGCATGGTACAAACTCCTATCAGCTACCACCATCCTGACATTTTGCCTTTTCACCTCTGAATACCTTTATAGCCAGGTTTTGCAATCAGATGTCTCTTGTGACTGATACATTCCTCTGCCATTGCAAATACAAATGTAGTTACAGTCAGAGTAGGGGAACATTTTTCAAATAAATAAATATTTATTTATTTTAAAATCTCCCTTAGGCTTTTAACGAAACTTAAATCATATTATGCTGAGTTTTGTAAAAATCAATCTTAATTCTATTCCCTGCCTGTGATCCCTGGGATTGTTAGGGACCACAAATATCCCGACTGAACAAGAAAATCTGTTCTTGCACTATTTTCAGCCTAATCTGGACCAAAGCAGTTCAAAACATTCATATAAACTTATTCTAGGAACAAAACAAATCCTAAAAGCCTTTTAGGTTTAGCCCATCACTAATGGAACAGCATTTTATATTGTATTCCACATGGAATACAATATAAAACATCTTCAGATAAAATGTAACAGTAGTGAATTTCCCAAATATTAAGAAGGTTAAGAAAATAGAAAAAAAATAACCTACTTTCTCAGGCAGCCACAGTTTTTAGAGACACCATACTAGAAACATTTTTTTTCTTCCATGAAATATTCACAGGTCACAAAAACTCATTCAAATCTACTGTATATCATGGTAAAATGAAACTTAAAATAATATTTATGCATCTTTTCCTTTTATTTAATTTTTCAAAGCCTGCAGAATAATATACCATAAAGTCATTCAAGAGGCACAATATTATACAAATACATTCCATTTTCTTCCACGGTAAAATACCAGAACGAAGGGAATCAAACAAGTTCAGGGATTTTGCCGTGGGAAATATAACCCATACTGAACCTGTTTACTTGATTCTAGAGCTGTAGAAACTGAGGGATCAGTACCTTCATAACATCTTGCTGCCACCTATTTAATTTCACATTGTTTTTTAAATGTATCAGATTATACCTTTTTAGAATCAGCAAAATGGATGTAGATGGCTACATCTCAAAAACACCAGTAAGGACTCAAAATATACATGCTTATTTAAATGGAAAATGAATCAAGTACATTGTTTGAACCAGTGTATATGCTCATCTAAAATATGGGCATGATTCACTACTTCAATACTTAGTAATGGAATTACACAAGTGAAAAGCTGCAGTAATGCAAAGGTGATTCAGGTCATTTCACAGTTTACAGTTTTTCCCTAACTGCACAAGCTTAAACTGTTACACTGAAGTGCTACATATTTGATCTCCCACTGGGAAATGATTGCTGCACAACACTTGAAACTGAGCCACTTAGATTAGTAAATATGGATACAGCAGCCTAACTTTTAGGCATCTTTTTTTGATAATTATGGCCTATATATTAAAACTACTATGCAAGTAAGAAAACAGTTGGCATTAGGCTTTTAGCGGCTTTCCATTGCTGTTAGCAATCTAATTCTCCAATCTTTGATTAATAGAGAAAACTGTATCCATAAGAGCTCCATGATGTCATAAAGAGTTATAATCTCCAATAAACCATAAACAGTGGGAACAAAAGAAGTCTTGTAAAAATCCCCCAAAATAAAGACGAAAGCTAAACAAAAAAATATCCTGTTGGCAACAGATACTCTATAATGAAAAAAGGTATAATTGTTAACAGAATGATTTTCTCAGTTTCCCCAAATAATTCTACATAACATTTATCTATAGCCTTAAACATACTGTAGAAACATGATGTAATTAATTAATGAATCATAAGGTGATTACCTCAGTGGTGGGGAAACAGTGTTAATGTTATAAGTTGCAACAGAAACTTGGATAGGCCCAAACTTAGGGTAGACAGGTGATGACCAAAGGTCTATTGTTATAGCAAATCATTTTATAGCTTGCAAATTATTTAAAACAATTTAAACATGAAGTACATTAAATATATTATACCAGTATATCCTGTATCCTTACAGAAGGACACAGCTGCAAAGCACTTAAAGAGTGCCCAATAGCACAACAATCTGAACTCTCATTACATGAGGGTTCAGATGAAGGTGCTCCAAAGTGGAGTGCCTTCATGAATTTCTGTCAGTACATGCTGGGAGCAGGTCTGGGTTGATGCAGCCCAGTCCTGCTCCTGGGGTCATTTTAGAATGGGAGAGTGACATGGGAAGGAAGGGAGTTCTGTCTGGAGTTTGCCCACCTTGTGCTAGAGGGTGGAGTGGGTAGAGTGGAGCCCCCCTGAGGTGTGGGAGGGCTCCAATTCACCTACCCATCCTTCAGAACAGGCTAGACAAACCCCAGACTGAGCTCCCTCCCTTGTCCCCCTCCCATTCTGAATACAGCAGTGAATCTGGAAGGGTGGAAGGGGCTAGGGGAGAGTAGATACACACATGCAGCCACTCCAAACTGGAGTTCAACCCGCAATCTGCTGGACTAAACAGTGAACTTCTGTTGGGTCCGGGGGAATGCTGTAACTCATGGCTCTTCCTGTGAAGCACCATAAGTTACAGCAGGAAGCTGTCAGCCCCTGCAGAGGCATATTATCAACACGAATACCCAGAGAGTCCCTATGAGCTAGACTGCCCCTTAAGACTTAGTCCCGGGTAAGATATAGTGTACAGCTGGCTTGCCATAGGAAGGAATTGTGATAGATTCACAACCTTTGCCATGTTTTCCTTTTGCTTTGGGGTGGTAATAAGTTACTGCAGGATGGAAATTATTTCCACAATCACCTCTGACTAGCTTTTCTATCCATTAGGTGATGAGGTAGGAGAAGGAAGTTAAAGCTTTGCTCATTTGTCTCACTCCAATCTACTTTGTCCAGGACAGAATATTGAGGGGGTGACAATAAGCGTCATAGCTCAATGTGCAATATGGGTAGACCAAGCAGCATATTATACTTTCCTGAATGAGTAAAGCAAAACCTAAAACATATCATAATGCTGAAATCAAATTAACTATTTTTTTTCTGAAGATGTCTGGATTCTCCAGCAGAGAAAGAAGAAGGTGACAAACCCCTTGCAAATCCACCCTCAATTTATTATTTTTGGAAGTTAATAATTTTTTTCCCTATGCCACTAGAACTGCTCTTTCAGTCATATTGTTTGACCTATCACCAGCTTTTTTTTCAGTGGCAAAGCTGAACAGCGATACTTGAACCAAAACAATATGCGATTGGAGGAAACAGTGTCAGAGCTCCACGGTTTGTTGCAACTTTGTCAAGGTTGTACACTTCAATGTTGTACTTTATACACATTTCTATTACTGAGAAAAATATGAAAACAAGAAACGTGGTTTTATGAAACAAATTGTGCATCTCTCTTTCATTAATAGACTCTTCTTAGGGCCAACCCTCAAGCATGTTCCAGGTACAAATGAATATGATTTTTTTAAATGGTCAACAAATAGGTTGCAATGGCAAAATTAGAGATGCTACAAACCCACTGCACTCTCACTACTTGAAGAGAATACTTGCATTTGACTTTGTCTCCCCCATGGCTTCTTAACTGACTCATTTTAAATTACATTGTGTTTTTTCTAGGATAGATGTCTGACAGAGAATATCAATGTATACCACTTAGTCACAGAGAACCCCCCCCCCACGTGAAAAGAAATATTGCAGACTGAAACATATTTTAACAGATTAAAAAAACATTGTGTAAGATACCTGCAGCTATAAATCTTGGGCATATTGGAAATTATCCATTTTTTAAAAATAGGGCCACAAAGGGATTACTTTTTGCATTTGTGCTAGGTACCAGTTAAAGCAACAATGAAAGAATGGAAATGATTTCTAAAGTGTGACCGTCTCTCCAATCTTCCATAGATGGGTCTGTGACAAAAATATGAGCTTCTGCTGCACCCTTAGCCCCATCCTCTAAAAGGACAAAGTCAGCATAGAAGTTGCACTATTGGTTCCATATAGACTCTATTCCCAGAGAAACGGGAGAAGTAGGAGGGAAAGGTATTCCTGGGGCTACCCAATGGACTTTCCATCTGTATTTACAGTGAAGACACAACTGAACCCTTATTTGAATGTTTTCTCTTTCTATGAGAAAAACCTGATGTGCTACTTCTGATATACCAAAAAAAATAAAAAGACAAGGAAAAAAAAGTGTAAGAACATATGCTAAAAGGATTCAGTAGCTGACCCTTCCAGGATTTATTTAACAGAATTTATACCAAAGGATCAAAAAATTATAAAAGGTAAGAAGTGTTAATCTTACTTTGATAATCATCCAGTGTCCTGATCGTTTTGATGCCATTTTGGTATCTGAAAAGAAAGGAAAACTAGACTACTATTCAACATTACAGGAAGACCCTGATGCCCTTGTAAGCCTCAGAGCAGAGGCCATTCTGTTGGTCTCCTTTGAGAAGCTATTTGCTAAGAGGATTTCTTTTAGATGTGCTCACTCTCTCAATACAATAGAGAAGTCTGAATTTGATTCTTGCTAGCATAGACTGATTTAAATTTAGGGCTTTTATAGCAATATATCTGCTGAGGTATCTGAGTATGCTGACCTGCCTTCTAGGCATGTCAGTATAATATCTTGCCTGGAAGGCAGACATGTTGACTACTGATTCTTTGGGAAGTCAAATAGTGTATTTTATATGATTCCAAGGGCCATCCTTATTGATAACTTGCCTCAAGGACTGGTTTATACAATTATCTGCCTGGAAGGTACCTAAACATTGACCTGCTTTTTGTGCAGAAATGAATACAGTTTAACCATTCTTTAAGTACCCAGGAAAAGAAGAATTAAAATAGATTTTAATTGGTTGGTAATTGGCTTTTAACTAAATATGAGACATAAGGTTAAACTGTTTCACAGGTCATTGGATTGTCTCTGAGAGGTTGATTTTTTTTAGTTTCCGGCATTGTTATGAGGTCAAGAGATATCATAACGCAAGACAAGCTTTCTGGATTAGAGGTATGTATACTTCTAATGCATGTATGAAACCACTTCCTACAGGGTAGCAGAAATTCCACACTAAAAGGGAGAAAAAAAATCTCTGCATTTTGTTCCTAAAGCTTAATGCTACTATCAAAATCTGGTGTAGAGAAGAATGATGTATTCAGTGAATTTCAGAGATATTCAAAGCTTTCTAGGGGATTTACTCATATAATTTCTTTTCAAATAGCCTCACAGCATTAATGTATCTCCTCTGGACCACATTGAAAGCCTCAACCCCTGTCTCTTTGCCTTTTTGTGCATTGTTTGAGTAAAATATTGGATCCAATGAACTTAATGGTAAGCTCCCATTAACTTCATAGGGTCTGTGCTACAGATTGTACTGAGCCTACTCTGAGAGTCCCAAAGGAAAGAAAACCCAGCAATATCCATTTTTCAGAATTAGAGAAAAGATAAATTCACAATGCTTAAACTTCAACCAATCTGAAAAATGAACTCAGCAGGAGTTCTGGTATATTTTGTTCTTCTATCAGGAAACACATGCAAATGTGTTTTTAATAAAAATAATGCTTGTGTCTATTAATATAGTAGGAATGTATTGCCAGCCTTATTATCTATCAAGCACAAGCTTACATTTCTGTGCAGCTGAGACCAGGCTAGGCAGAATGCTCTTGTCCCCCAAACCTCCTTAAAACTTGCATAAACCTACTTTTGTCCCATCTCTGCCATTGCAACAGAGATATAAATAACTGCCCAACAGATAACCCTTTACCCCGTGAAACCATCTTTTGTGACAGAAACTGTAAACTTGTTGAAAGAATGAAGTTTCTTCTGCTTCAACAGTCCTCTGCCCTGCAAGTTACTGTAAATAAAAGCAGGGTAACCTAGTTCCCTTGTCCTCCCACCATCAAATGGGAAAGAATTAAAAGAAGAATCATAGGAAAAAAATGTTTCACTCTTTGGAGATTACACTCCTCCTTGTAAAGTCATTTATATTCTACATGAACCAAGGATACTACTGAAACCTATTAATTCTGCTTTTTCTGCAGAATTGGCATAAAGTAGGAAGAAAGTTTCAGAAGGTGCATGTATATCAGAAGGCGTTACAAATGTACTGTATAATATTAGTAGTGTTAAGCAGCTTTCACTAACATTCAAAGCACACCCTTGGCCATGAATTAATATTATCACCATCTTATCATGAATATACTTCTTTCTTCAAAGAGGACAATTCTGTATAAAAATTTACAAAAATCAGTGAAAATAATTTCTAAGTCTTTGAGAGACCCTTGGGTTACCAATTTAACTATTTTTCTCCACTGAGAAGAGATCCCCTTCTCTCAATGATAAGTTAAAGGGAAGGGGAAAAAGCATGCTAAGAACACTTACCACCTGGAAATCAGGTTTCAAAGGGGCACTATAAGACAACAGCCATGTGTCTTTGCCAGTTGAAAGGTCCAGCTATAAGACAATCATCCTAGTTCCTATAAAAAGGTGATTTTAGAGTAATTTCAGTAGTAAGCAAGCTCTCAGAAAGCAGGTTATGAAATAAATTTGGTGTCCATAACAACACCTAAAACACAATTTTGATATAAATCAAATGCTATATCTAAGCAGCACTGCATCACAAACATGTTATGCAAATATTTATTCATCAGAAATTTCTCCATCAAAAATACTCTATTACAAGATACTACTTGTTTGTATAGATCTTGCAAGCTGTGGCTTACATCTTGATGCACATCCAGGTTTTTGATACAATCCTAATGAAATATCATTTTGGGGAAAAAAAAATCAGGCATGCAGGTATTAATCTAAACATTTTTATTTAGAAAGTTATGACTACTTAGCCACCCTAAGACTTGAATTTCAGAAATCACAATCACAAAATCAGAAGATCTAAGCTAACCCAGCACAACAGAAATATTTAGTGATAACCTGCATGAAAAACAACAGTTTGGGTAGAGACTCCCATAGAATTAGAATATAATCAGAAATATTAAATTATTATTAAATACATGTCCCTGAAAAGTAATTATAGTATTTAGTCTGATATACTCAGCGCATAGTCTGTTATACTCAGCACATAGTCTGGTATACTCAGAGCACAGAATTACCTTTCAGTTTCATTTGTCTCATTTTGTCTCACCCCTTAACAAGTTACTCCGGCTCCCTGTGCATAGCTTTTCTGATTATGCTCATTCTGCATAGGCAATGTGGACTCATTCTGAATTAGCCATTAGTTGCCACAAAATGCCATCCTTACTCAGTAGGTGACTGGAGAGGAACATAGGTAAAGCTTATCAATTTTCCTTTTTACTATCCTGCTCTCAGGTAGGGGCTCCTATATGATCAGATAAGACCAGGAAAACTAACAGTTTTTACCATGAATAGAGTATTTTAAATGATATTTTGATATGCTGTCATTAATTTGGTGTAGTGCCTGAATCCTTTCATACTCGGTTTTGGACTGCTTTCTTTAAGGTACTTGGATAAAGAAAAACAATGTGCCTGTCATACTGGATTTTTACTTTAATTAGTGTTTATAAATTCAGCTGAAGGCAGATAAGAGGTTTTCGAAAACCTAGAAATTTCCAGTAACTGACATGAATGAAACGTATTGTTCTTTTTCTTCCTATTTCACCTATGTTAATGAAACTGGTAATAGTTTAGGACCCCATGCCATTTTGTCATGTAGTTACAGCTTGTCCTTTCACAAAAGAAAATTAGAAGACTGCTGAGTGTTATAGATATTAATGGTTGTTAAAAAAAAGTATAATAAAAGGCGTCTTTTCTAAAGCACTGCTAAGCTTTTATGTCATTATTCAAGAATGACTAATGGATTCAAAGGAGAATAGTGCTGATCTCCAAGGAAGCAGTGATGAGCAGCAAGACAGAAGGACTGAAAGGGAGCAGTTCGTCATGTAGGGCCCTAATACCAGGGCTGTGTGTAATGAATGGCTTCAACTGAAGTGAAAGTGAAAAATTCTCTCAAATGTGATCAGGAAGCTTGTCACTCTGGAAGGGAGATACCTCAAATCCATAAGGCTGAAGAGGTTGCTGGGCAATCCTGAAAAAAAAAAGATAAAACAAAAAGACAATGAAGTGCAGGTATACCCATACTAGCTTATTAGCATCTTCCCTTGTAGGGAATTCTAGTATCAGTAATAAAAAATGAACTGAGATGGTCCAAAACGGAGATGGTCCAAACAGATAACGTACTTTTTGTGATTATCTATGCTTTGTGTTTTTGCATTTGCTTAAGTACTAAGTCATTAAATACATTACACTGAAAATTGACCCCCCCCCTTTTATTACTATGCAACACTTAGCAACTACTGTGGAAATTCTGTAATAATATTATAGTCAAATAAGTAAAAAAAACACCCATGATTTTTCATTTTTGTTTGTTTGCTTGATTTATTTGCTATAACTTCTAAACTTGTCTGTTTGTCCTAACTGAGGTAGGGATTGAGCCAAAGCCAATTGAAGTCAATGGGCATCTTTTTATTGACTACAAAGAGATTTTGAATTAAATTATATGTGTCTACAGGGTGTCACTTCAAAAGAGTGGGCAGCATCTGCTCCACCCTGAGCTGTCATAGAAAAATTAAATAGTATTAAGTACGCTTTGAATGATGCTGTAGCTCTGATGGTCCAGGAAATATGGAAGGGGCAAATATTTTTATAAGTAATATCTTTTACTGGACCAACTGCATGGTTAGAACAAAAGATATCATCCACAAAAATCCTTAATAGTATTAATACAATTAATATTTTAAATTAATTAATGAATTAACAGTATTAATATTCTTAGAGGACATGTACCACATGCTAAATTTCAGGGTGTAGGTGGAATTTAAAGATAAAGGCCCTGTCCTGGATAGCTATTCATGGAAAATTTCATCCTTATGGAATGAACTACATCTTTAGGGCGAAGCATATCTTTGGCATTTCCTAAAAGGGGGCACTAAAATTATACAGAGTCAAATATCTATATTATCCATGTATATTAACAAGGTAGAAGCATACTGGCATTTTTACTTTAATGAATTATGTATGGCTTCATGGAGTAACTCTACAGTAACAGTACTGAGGAAAATGCAGTATCTATTCATCTATTAAATTAAATTGCCCTCTTTCAAGTGATCATGTCCTTTTTTATTTCCTAAGGAAACTGGGCATTATATGCAAGGAATATAGAAAGCATTCATGCAGCTGAAATTTAAAGGCTGCATGTATGTTGCTTTGATGTAGTCTGACCTGTTTCGTGTGTTATCAGAACTCTGTTTTGGAATAAATGATTATTTTATATCATCAGTTGTTAAATACTAATACCAGTTTTCTAGCCTTTTTAAAATTAAATTAGAGGCTATTTTTCCTGTCTCTATTTTTGCTGAAATATTAACCAGTAATTGGAACTCTAAAGTGCATGTTCACTTCAAAATGATCTGTCTGCTGCCAACCCATTCAGACTGTTTATTTCCTTCCACAACGCTCTTTACACATATATATTTATAGAAATGTGACAAATAGAAAACACCCAGGAGTGCTTTATTCAAAGAGTGTCTAAGTTAATGTCTCTCCAGGGATATCTTTTCAAAATGGTTCATTTAGAGTTATGAACAAAATTATAGGATGCATCAGTTTAAAAAACTAAGCCTATATATTAGAAGTACAGATTAATGCAATTGATGAAGTTGTTCATGGGAGAACATGCACTCTGAAATGATATATCTGTAGTTTTCTATCTTTAATCAGAAAGCTAAACATGAATTAAAAATGGCATGTGGTGTATTTGGATCAATGTCTTGAAAAAATTAGATTGTTTAGAAATAAAATCATGCAATAACTATTGCGTTTCATTTCTTGAAATAGATAGAAATAAAAGCTAGACTTAACCACAGTCCCAAAGAACCAAAATAGATTTTTTTCCAGACATTTTAATACTCAGTTCAGCCTATTAATGTTCTCTATCTATCTATACTATGGCTACCATGAACTCAATCAGATTATTTTAATGAACACTTAACATGATCTGTTTCTTTTTAAAGTGATCTTCTTTAATTAACTGGATAGAAAAAAAAAGTTGTTAAGCAATAAGCCGTAAATTGTATAACAAAAGGTCGTACTTTAAGCTACACTATCGTAGATTGGGTCTTGCGTTTACAAACCTTTCCTGATGCTGGGAACTGTACTGGGAACACAATCTAAGTAAGACGGAGTAGGGGCAGGAGTGGGCAGCATCATGGGGCTAGAGGGTCCATGAAGGGCTGGTTGTGGTGGGGAAGAAGTTAGCAAGTCCACAGCGGGTATTATTTGTCTGGGAGCAGAGGGAGCCAGAAGGCTTTAAATAGTCCAGTCAGGGTGTGTGTGTGTGTTGGGGGGGGGGGGATGGAAGTGTAGGAAAAGCACACCCCTGGGTGGGCAGCACAGCTGGGGTGAGCAGCTGGGCTTTCCCAGCCCCAGGGCTGCACTCCAAGTATGTACGTATATTCGGTAGATCAGGCTAACCCATGCCTGATCTAACTTAGTGCACTTTCTATGGTGTCCTAAATCAGATTGGGCTAGCCATTTTTTGCCCGGTCTAACCTCCCCAAACATATATATAGATCAGCACTTAGATCAACCTAACTTCAGTATAATGTCTGCATGTACCCAAAGTTATCATTAATGAAATATGACAGGGAAGATGTCATTACAGATTGAGTTTCCAAATATAGTAAAAGAGTTGCCTTCATAGTTGTTTTCAAAAATGCTTCCATTGTCATTTTTAAATTTGGGCAAAGACCAGCAGGGGAACTAGCATGGGGCAACAGGCTGCCAGGACCAGTGCTAACACTCCAGAACCCCAGCAGTGTGTAAGCACAACATTTTTTCCCCCCAGAAAACACAACATCCTTCTTTGGAAATATCAGTACATGTGATAAGTGAAGGAAATGCACTGGCTTTATTGTGGTTATAAAACCCAGTCAGGTTAACTTTAGTTAATAGAAGAAATATAACAACAACAACAATCCCGCATGCATTTCCTTGCCTTATTTTATTCACCACTGCTTGAATGTATGTCAGAAGATGTCTTGGATCCCTGTGGTCCCCAATCCCAGATATAAAACACAGATTTCTGACAACATATGCACAGACTCAAAAAATAAATAAATATATAGAGTCTCCATATATACACACATCTATATATATATATACACACACACACACACACACATACATATATATGGAGGCATTCACTAATATATCAACATCGTAATCTCAGGATTTAGAAATTATTAATAGACAGAGTGCAAATTATCAGTCATCAATGTCCCTTTTTTCTGAGCTGTCACTGTGCTAGTAGATCTATGCATTTGGATTGTCTGAGAATTTTTACTTAAAAATAATGTATGATTTATTACAGTACAGGCCTGCTGATAGTCAGCATGACTGACTATGTTAAGGGTTTTTTTTTTGTCAGCTAACCTCTGTCACATACTGGAGGAAAAGATGATAATCAGTATATTTACACTCAGTATATCATTTATTTCCTGTACCAGAAAAGTTCCTGCATGGCAGAAGCCCTAACAGTAATATTTACAAAAGCAACACTGATTGTTAGAGTCAGAAGTGCAGGTATTATGTCTGCATAGTATATAAACTAACAATCATTATTAATATCAGTGAACACATGCACTTATGACCAGAATGGGATTAAGGTGGTTATGTATTACACATCCTCACAAGGCTGTCATCTGGGTGATGTACTGTGTAACACTAATAACTATTGCTCTGATGAAGTATAATACCAACTGCCATCACTCCAGTAATGTATTTTGTCACGGCAATAGAACCTACACTAAAATATATCATCAGAGCAGTTGCAAATGTAATATATCCTCAGAGCAAGAACCCTCCATAATGTGTTCCCTGATAGATCATTTCATGTGCTATTCTAATTAGGATTCTATTTTCCTTCGGGGGGGGGGTGGAGGTATGAACGTTTGCTCTCAACAGCAAATAGGCCTAAAATGAAATAGCCTTATGCTCTAACCTCTAACACTTAAATGTGTCTTCCTGCTTGCGCCCTGAACTCATCTCTTTTACCTGAGTTGTTGTTATTATTATTTTTTAATTATAATTGTCAGTAACTGGTAGGAGGTCTTTTCCTTCTCCTCTTTTCCATCCTCAACTCTACCCTGCTCCTTTAGTCTCGAAATTCCAGGGTCCCTGCCAGCAAATCTATCCTTCCACCCACTCCTCTTTTACCTCTTCTTTTCCCTTCACTATTTCTGAATTTAAAAAAAAGCCATCTTGCTTCCTTCTGAAGAGGTACCTAGGTCTCATCCATATCCATATAAAACAGTAGGCATTATAATGCTCTTCTGTATCTGAAACTTGTTTCTTTTCAGTAATTGTTTGTAGTCAAAGATTACCTACAGAGTAGGTGCGAGTGCTTAGGGCCTCCTTCAGGACTGCACTCCAAGCTATGAAAGCCACCCTAAGTCTATATAAATGTATCAAAATATAATTTTATGCAATTAGGAGATATGTGCTGTAACATTTATGTTCTACTTTGTCCCCATTTTCCAAAAATAGAGCAGACAACTGCTTCCTTCCATCCCCATAGAATTATTTTTCAAGCCTCCAAAGAAGCAAATTAGTGTATATGGTCCTTGCCATAAATTATCTCCTATTATTTTTAACAATCTAATGGTTTCATAATCCAACAGGAATACTGTAATACTTGCCACTTTGCTGGGGGTTTTTCCTGAGCATTCTAAGCAAAATAACTCAGCTGTCATTCATGGCTCTGTGCTGCTCATCTTTATCCAATGTGCCATTACAGAGGTCATTAAAGTATCAAATTAAAATACCCTTAAGATATTCCTTCCATCTTCTATAACGTAATGCTTTGTAACTAACAAATTCCTATATATGTCTTTTGTCAGACTTGTTCATAGTTGATATCCTTTCCCCTGTACGTTAATGCCCCTGTAAAATGCTCTGACATTAATAATTCTCTCCTGCTCCCTCTTCTCTACAGTATTATCTCTTGTGGCATCTTACCCATCTCTGCTT